TCCTATTCACGGAGGCCAGTGTTTGTAATGTCTCAGCCATTTCAGACCATGAAAATTATTTACGAAACCTGGATTTGATCATCATGGATGAGGCTTCTATATTCCCTTCATTTGCTCTTCATCCTATTGATAAAGCCTTGTGAGATATCATTGGCATTGCGGCTGTTTTTGGCGGTAAAGTTGTGCTCTTGAGGGGAGATTTTAGGCAAATCCTATCTATATTGCCAAGAAGAACTCATGATGCAATCATAGGAATATGCATTAAACATTCTCCACTATGGCTGTTTTTCATCCAATATAGATTAAGCCAAAACATTAGTACAAAAGCAGATCAAAGGAAATTCGTAGCATAGCTCTTAGATCTTGGCAATGGAAAATTTCATGCGTTGACGGCTCTCTGGTGGATATCTTCAACAATACAAGAGAGAAGGAACAGAGAATTCAAACTGCTTCCTGATCAATGAAAAAGTTTTAAGACAACTTCCAGGTAACTGCTTCACCTCTTATAGTAGAGATAAAATTTTTGACTGATGATCTTGCTGAGGCTGAGCGCTACCCACTTGAATTTCTAAATTCCTTGATACCATCATAAGGTCTCCTCAAAAACTGAGTTTAAAACCATGCTCAATAGTAATGCTTTTTCATAACATTTCTATCCAGAATGGTACAAGACTGGAAGTGGTGGTCATGCATCATCATTCATTTGAGGCTTCTTTGATTAGCGGCTCACTAATTGGTAGACTCATCCCCGGAATAAAGCTGGATCCAAGCCTCTCTGATTTGCTATTCACCTTGGCAAAAATCCAGTTTCCTGTCCGTTTGTCATATGCCAAGACTATTAACAAGTCACAGGACATTTGAGTTGAGATTGTTCTTACCTCAGCCAGTGTTCAGTCAGTTGTACGTGCCATACTCGCAGATGTAAAGGTTAAGGTGATGTCGACAGACAGACAAGGAAGATGGAAAACTATTTCTAAGAACATTGTCTGCCGAGAGGTACTGACTGGAGAGTGGAGAGTTTTCAGAAATTTTGGAGCCCCTTGATTACATTAGGTATGCGTCCTTGGTTTATATATATATATATATATATATATATATATATATATATATATATATGTCTGATTTAATAAATTCCAAACATTATGTCTGCTTATTTTTAGCATAATCCTTTCATATTCACGAATATTTTCCCGTGTATTACAATCAAATGGGGCAAGAGATGCATTTGATTGTAATAGACTGAAAAATATTTGTGAATATGAAAGGATTATGATAAAAATAAGCAGATATAAAGTTTGTAATTTATTTAATCAGACATGCCTAAAAGAGAATTTACTGCATAAATACACACACACACACACACACACACACACACACACACACACACATATATATATATATATATATATATATATATATATATATATATGTAGGTCTATTGGTTTTTGTATTCATATCGGAGGAAAGTGACATGACTCTATGTTGTGGGGGGTGAAATCTGACTGATTTTCTTTGGCAATCTTTGCATATATGATGGACACTCCTAAGTATCTATGTGTTGTTTATTACCTCAGCCAAAGAGTGTTATATGTTTAAAAAATGACAGATTTAATAGCTAAACTTTCTGTATTTGTAAATATGCCTGTACAAATATACGCAATTTTACTATTTGCTGCCTAAGTATCTCATTCTCTTATATATGTAAAGATCTTAATTTTTCCTTCTTCAATGCGTTATTTTCATACATACATACATATATATATATATATATATATATATATATATATATATATATATATATATATATATATATATATATATATATATATATATATATATATATATATATATTATTGATTTTGATTTATAATCTGATATTATCTCATATTACTTTAAACGTTATATTTACCGGATGCATGTGTTTCAAGCAAACATCTCAGTTTAAAAAAAATATGAGTGTAAATTTACGTCTGCCGGCCTGTGCATTTGAGAGTCTGATTAAAAAAAAAAATGAACATTCTGGCACGGTTCGAACCTGAATCTCATTTATAATAGAAACCACTCTCTGTTTTGCGGGGCTTTTTGGTAGTTCAGTCACAGAAAGTGTATGTGTGTGCACGCGCGTGTATGCATGTGTGTGTGTGTGTGTCTGTAACTCAGTGTCACTCAGCTGAAAAATTTTATTGTATTAATCACACACACATATATATATATATATATATATATATATATATATATATATATATATATATATATATATATATATATATATATATATATATATATATATAATGATAGAACTCTAATGGTTTAAATCACAAAGATAACGTTCGTCCCGGTAGTGCTATGTCATTTTAAACACGGGTCACGTAACTTGCATTTCGAATTTATCTGTAAAGTTTGTTCGGCTATACTCGACACATCGTAACGTTCCCGTGTCACAACACAGGTATGTAAAAGTCGTATTTGCCCTCCTGATTTTAGGGTTATTTGTCTTCATTCATTTATTTTGTTTGAATCATAAGTAATTTCATTTTCTGTTTATCGCTTTATTCTTCAAAATATTAGAATTAAAAAAAAACAAAAAAAAACGGAAATTACTTCCGACTCAAACTAATTGCTATGAATTCATGTCATATATTTTTTCTGGTTTAATTTTCCATCTTTCTCTCGATTGTTTGACGCCTTTTTTCCAGATTTCCCATGTTTGTTTTCTTTTCTCTTTGTTTCAATTTTCTTCTTTTTGTGACATTTTCCTTTCTTTCTTTCAGCAATTCATCGCTTCTACTTTTTCTTCTTCTTACTCTTGTTGTTGTTGTTCTTCTTCTTCGTCGTCGTCTTTTTCATTTCATCTCATTATTGTACGTTTTCACAAATTTCTTTCTTTCTCTTTTCTTCGTTTTTCAAATTTACGTCTTTAATTTTCTTTTCTTCGTTTTTTATCGCCATTTTTCTTTCTACATTTTCTTCTTCTTTTTCCTCTTCTTTGCATTATGATGTTTATATTTTTCAGATTTCATATTCTTTTTCGTTTCTTTTTCAATTATATCTCAATTTACTTCTTTACTTTGTTTTTTTTTTATCTTTTATTCACATTTTTCCCGCTATCGCCTTGCTTGGGGTGAAACGATTAAAAAAAAAATAGCATGTAAAATCTATAGCTTTAAATATTAAATTAAATAAGTAATACGTTGCTCAGCTTTTTTTTAATCGTTATCACCGCATGCAAACCACTACGACACAAGGAGTTACAGGGTGTGGTAGAATTAGAAACAGAAACATTAATAATGAACGGCGAGTGGTAAGTGTAATCAAAAGGACAGTAGATAGCGATTGACAAAAACATTAATTAACAAAATAATCTGCAGACGATTTCGATGTAAAAAAAAATAACGTATGCTTTTTCACATTTTTTTTGTGAGTTTGAAGAAAAAGCAGAAATGGAAAACGGAAGAAATAGATAAAGAAAAACTGATCGTCCATTCCTACCGATTTCTAACCCCAAAAAAGAAATCGTGTTCCTTTTGGTCTCATATTGATTCCGTCATTTTTCTGGATGATTAATATTCAACGAACGGGAAAGTTCAATTTTCTTTACGTTAAGTCTTGGGGAAAATCCATTAACACCGAGAAGGCATTCTTTTGTTTTCGTTTTTTTTTTTTGTTTGGTTTTGTTTTTTCTTATGTTGGAAATGTGAAAACGAAAAACATTTTAGAATAGCTGTATTCATTAAACCGAAAAACAAGATATCGGGGAAAAAAAGCAGGCAGTTCAACAAGAGCAACGTTCCCGCTTTTGAAAATGCAATCGAGATCCAACCAGATTTCGTTTATTCTCTCTTACAAAAAAGATTTTCTACAAAATATATGTTATTAGAAATTAAAACATATTCATTTCACTGGGAACCTAATTTAAGAATGTCAAAGATTTAGATAATCCCTTTTTTGGTATATCGGCACTTTTCAGAAGTATGTTATACGATAATTTATGGTACATGTGCCAAATATTTGGCAGAGAAATTGAAAGGTAAATAAAAATCTTCTTTTGTAAATCCAAGAATTGTGTTCTCAGTGTCTGAGGTCCTATTAATAATTTGCATATGTGCTGACATTTCTGTCATTTGGGGGTTTAAAATTGTTTCATTTTTTTTTTAACAAAAAGTTTAATTAAAGAAAAACCTTTTAATGTAAAAATTCCTTCGTACAGCATTGTTAATAATCGAAAGAAATTTTGAGGACAGGTTTCAGGAAGCCAGAAGATGGCGATAATGCCACTAAGACGCAAGAGGTTACTGGAAAATAAAAAAGAATGAGAAAACTTTAGTGAGAAAAAAAGGACATTAAAAGAACAGTTTTCATAAAGACAGAAGATGGCGATACTGCCACTAAGACGCAAGGGGATACTGGGAGTGAAAGAGAATGATAAGATTTTTGTGAGGAGAATGGACAATAAAAAAAGGTTTCAGGAATACAGAAATGGCGATAATGCCACTAAAAGGCAAGGGGTTACTGGGAAAAAGAGAATGAGAAGACATTAGTGAGGAGAAAGGACAAAAACAGAACATAACATATTCAGGAAGACAGAAGGTGGTGTTTGTTTATCTAAATTATAATTTTAATCTCGATATAGTAAGATATTAATAAATCGACTGTGTAAATAAACTGTATTGAACTTTGCATTTTCTTTATATATGTGATTTGCATTGTTAATTGATTTATAAAGTATTTTTCTTCAAATCATAACAAACATCGAACATTCTCTTCTTATTTTCTTTCTTACTATTTAATTATATTTTCTGTTTTGTTGTCGGAAAGCAGTCAATTAATTTTTCGATATAAAATATAAATAAATGCTGCTTCTCTTTACAGGTTCGATCCATTCTCTTTGATTGTGTATATATTCTTTGAAAATACAAAGGCGTGACATGGAAAACATGCTGCGGGTTGACCTTAAGGTGGAAGACTTTGAAATCTACGATTTGATCGCAAAAGAAAAACGCATGCAGAAGCAAAGCCTTAATCTTATCGCAGCAGAGAATTATCCAAGCAAAGCCGTTTTGCAAGCCCTTGGTGTCTGCCTAGGAGGCAAATACTTCGAAAGAAGACCTGGGAAGATGTAAGCTTTTTATCTCTCTCTTTCTCTCTCTCTCTCTCTTTCACTCTCTCTATTCCTTAGAACATTCTGCAGACTGTTCCATAAGTGACAAATTGTTTAAGAAGGCAATGTTTCATAGGAAATTTAGGCGAACAGATGTTCTTAGACAAATGCTCAGGAATCTTTCACGGCGATTTTTTCTTTATTAAATATTCACCCGCTACAAAAGACAAGAGTCACTCAAAGCAGAGGGTTACTGAATGAAATTTTTGTATAAACACACGAGAAGAGATTAAGCGCAAATCAGAAGGATATGTAGGAAATGAGAATTGAAGAACGGTCCGTAACTTAAGATATGTTTCGATTTATTTATTAAAATAACCACTGCACACTCCTGCCTTATAAAAAAATTTACCCCAAAAATTCAACTTTATTTTATTTTTCGTTGAGAAAGGACAGAAGACGTGTTTGAAAAATTTGATTTTTAACATCTTTTCGTATCACGCTTCTATTTGGTCTAAAGGTCTAAAAATATGCAATAAATATTATTATTATTATTATTATTTTTATTTTCTTTGATTTCTGGCGTTTACACATTTCTTTCCGGGTCCCGCCCAGGGACCTAAGGTTAGAAATGGCGTCATGACACTTTCCACTGACAAAAAAAAAAAAAAAAAAAAAAAGATTACATAGATAAAGCCCTTCGTAAGGTGTGGGCTGTACTTGTTAGAACAATTTTCTGTATCTCCTTGAGGCATGGACTTCCAGGTATCCCTTCAATTAGTCTACTAGAATCTTTTCCAACCAGTCCTAGGGCTCCAACTACAACAGGGATTGTTGATGTTCCCATATGCCACATTATTATTATTATTATTATTATTATTATTATTATTATTATTATTATTCCTCTCGAATTTATTTCATCAGTCTACTATATATATATATATATATATATATATATATATATATGAGTGGACATTGTAGTCAACACCTAGAGGTGATAGTCTGTCTTGCTCGAACGCATGAAAAGAGAATATATCCCATGCGATACACGCGTAGGCTATTATGTATCTTTCGAGACATGACTGATGAGGCAAATTTTTTTCCCGCAGTAGGTTGCCATTTCTTTCTGATATTGACCACATTAACCCAGAAATATAGCATAGTTTAAAAGGACGTAAGCGAATGTAGAATATTTTATCATATGTATATATATATATATGTGTGTGTGTGTGTTTATGTATGCGCGCGCTAACGAATGATAACAGTATATATCTTTATATTAAGGACGTTATCTGAAGATAATCACCTGTAAACAATTAAACCACTACGTTGCTGACTTCTACACTAATAGACCTTCAAATCAGGATCGCGACAAGACTCAGTATCACTCTAAAGGGCAGTTGTCTGTATGTGTGTGTACCTCTGTGTGGGTGTATTATTGACTTATTAATATTTTTCGGTCTTATGGAAAATATTTTTTTTATTCAACCTTTGAAAAATAAACGTAATTGTTTTTTTATTTGTAACATGTATGTAAATAACATAAAAAAGTTAGTTTTAGTTAAATATATTTACGGAAAAATTTTGATTCTTATATTTATCTTATTTATATTTATCTTATTTTGATTCTTATATATATATATATATATATATATATATATATACTTAAAAAAATCTAAATTCCTTTCCAAAATAAATAGTAAATAATTATTTTTCGAAGAATTAAGGCTCACTAGAATTTTTGCTTGAAAAAATGATTAAATTAAATATTTTTAAATATATCTTAATTTAAGTTTATTTACTTTTTTATCAATAATAATTTGAAAAATGTTAATGAACTTGATTTGTTTGAAAACATTGACATATTATTTATATATATTATTTATGATAGTATTTAAATCGAAAAATAAAGTGTCTTTTTTAATAGAAATATGGGGGATGCTCAGCCCCCCTAAAACCCCACCCAACCCCGAGCGTCGTATTGGTAGTGTAGTATTTTCCTAATTTTAGTTATTTTGTAACAAACCAAAAAACAATGACTTCAATCTTTAAAGATTGAATAAAATTATTTTCCATTAGATGACTGAAAAATATCAATAATCAGTGCCGGGGTATCCTCGCTAGTATATATATATATATATATATATATATATATATATATATATATATATATATATATATATATATGTGTGTGTGTGTGTGTGTGTGCACGCTCGTAAATTCGTCCGTGCGTCCTTCTTATCTATATCTAATTTACTGAATATGCCATTTTAAGTGAATCTTCAATTGCGTATGAAAATATATACGTAATATATGTATGCAAGCGGGCTCGTGTGTCGGCAAACGTGTATGTGTCTGTGATCGTGTGTGTTTGTTTGCTAGGTACTTACGCATGTGTCTTAATACAATAAAGGGTGTACGAGAACAGACATTTCTGTGTTTTTCAGTACGAAACACGAATTTAATGAATTATTTAACTCGAGTTTTCACGTCATAATTGAAGTAATTTGTCAAGCATTCAGTGCCATATAGGAGGAGACATATTACATAGCAATTCAACACTCCTTTCTTTGCTTTTAATAAAAAAAAAACTTCCTCTTTCTTAATACTTTGTTTACATTTCAGAAGGCATCTTTTGCTATTCCGATCTGCTTTTTCGTTGCTGTGTTAAAGTATCTGTCTTTTGTTAAAACACTTCTACATTTGTTCGATCTTGACATTTTTAATTCATAGCTCGCGTTTTCGTTTTTTTTTTTTTTGCTAGTTAGTCCATTTTTCCTGCTTTCTTTTACTACCATGCTCAGTTGTACCTGCAGTTTGTTTTCATCTGGGTCTGACAAATATGGTGATAAAACATGACGTCATCTGTGTATTTTATGTTGTTAAGATTGTACCTACCAATAATAAATCCAAGTAGACTTCTAGATCTCCTAAGGTCACCTCGCTACAAAGGTTAAATAAATCCGGTGAGAAGACCTATCCTTGTATCACGCTCCTTTCTGATTCATTTTCTATCCGATTTACTCCTTGTGAATGTTCTAGATAACTCTTCTTTCCCGAATAAAACAAGTTTGCCGAACAGTTCAAGGTGAGGATCTCCAGAACGATACTAAAATCTCCAAGGACGGAACGAGTAAGCAAGAAGGAAAAATTAAAGAAAACGGTAACATAAAAGAAACATAAAGAACACTTCTACTCAGAATCAGGAAAAGACAGAAGTGTTTGGAAAACTTATTGAGTGAACATTATTCTATGATTTTATTTGTTTGTTTAACAGCGCATCAACTCATTATGGGTCATTTAATGCCGAAATTTAAATTTCTTGCGAGTAATAAAAATATATAGATATATGTTATTCTGCTTTCACATTTGAATACATGGGTCATTTAATGATGGAATTTAATTTTCATGGGAGCTTTGAAGTAATAAAAATGTGATATATGTTATTCTACTTTCACAATTGAATACATGGTAGATGATACTCAGCTTTTGTGCATATACATGTTTGTGTGGACATAATTACTAGAGACGATAACATGTGTGTTTTATGTTGTAGTTTTGTTGAAATTATATTTTAGAATGCAGTTTGATTTAAGAATTTGTAAGATATTATATGGCTTAAAGTCATGAAGGAGTTCATGTTGGTGGTTTGGTAGTATTTGAAACAGATTTGGGTGAAATCGTTAAAAATTGTTAGTCTGTGCGTATTTTTGGTAAATTATATTGTTAGTAATGTTTTATATGAAAACGTATTGCTGGTATTTTTATAATAAAAATATATTTTTTTACTTTCATGATTTTGGGGAGTCGGGAAGGTTTCATTATTTGCCCATAGTTGGGGCCCTAAAAGGCGCTACCATCCCGTGTCCGTGTGGATCTGGAATCAACAGCAATTAAGAGGGGTTTTCACGCTCCTCAAAACCTCACGTTACCGGATGTAGTGTTAAAAAAAGCAATGTTTATTCCCTTGCTATCCTTCGTAATCCCTTTTCCGTCATTCGTTTATCCAATCTTGTCAATTAGTTTAATCGTTGTATTTTTGTTGTACTTTACTCAAGCCATTTTCTCTCTGCATGTAGGCAATTTGTTCCTGGTAAATCTTCAACATTATTCTATCTTTCCCAAATAAAACAAATTTTTACCGTAGTTCAAAGTCTACATGACAAATTCACTGAAAGAAAATGGTCCATTTATGAGAATTTAGCGAGAAAAAACTCAGGGAATATTATTTGTAGATTTTACGATGTTTATTCTATATTCCATTTCAGGTATAATGCTGATAACGAATCTGTTCGGCTTATACAGCTTCTGTGCGAAAAGAGAGCACTGGAAACCTTTCACCTCTCCCCAGACCAATGGGGTGTAAATGTGAAACCGTTGTCTGGTTCCCCAGCTAACCTTGCTGTCTACACAGCTGTCGTCGGGCCTCATGGTCGCCTGATGGGACTGGACTTTCTCGATGGTGGTCACATGACACACGGGTTCATGAACTTAAAAAAGAAAATGTCATCGTCTTCGATTTTTTTTGAATCCTTGCCTTACAAGGTCGACCAGAAAACTGGATATATTGACTACGATATTTTGGAACGTAATGCCCGTCTATTTAAGCCGGCGTTAATCATAGCAGGTTTGTGTCTTATTCTTTTCTGTATTAATCCTTTGTTTTTAGTGACAATTCTACAATTTAAATGTGTTGACATGAAAGAATGACGCTGGAAGAGGATTCCACAAGCAAGAAGTGCGACAGAAGAAACTGTTAGCATAGAACTTACTGTTGTGGATTCCGGGATGAAATCCGGTCTCAAATGAATAACAAACGCAGGAATGAAATATAGCAAATAAATGTATTGGCGTAATAATACAATTGGTTATACGGTTAGTAGATCCAGAAATGCGGTTAGTAGCAATAATAATAATATATACAGTCTGGGAAATTCAGTATCGAAGTATGACTTCCTTCTGAGTCTACGTGCTCGCAACTGTGACTCCTACAAAGCGGTTACCTCACACTCTCACTATCTCACCACGGGTATTCACCGGCAGCAGTACAAGTACACACTGAGCGAGTCCACTTGTATAAAAAGGGGTGGACCCCTTAACATTTACGGTTACGTCTAGCCACTTCAACTGTAAAAAGATGAGACCTTGTCGCCAATCTAATAGTAGGTTTAAATTCATAAACTGAAAAACAAATTGACTTTCTGATCAACGAGAGAAAATCATTTCTAATAATTTCACCTCAAGCAAGGCGACAAAGCCACTAAGATACAAGGAATAAAAGAAAGAATAATATTATTAAGGAGCGAAAACAATAAAAAAAAGAGGAATCAAGAAGATATAAGATAACGATTGACATTGAATTTAGGTTTTTGAAGACCAAAGTTGACTGGAAAGCAATAAGCCGGAAGAGAGTTCCACAAGTAAGAAGTGCGAGTGAAGAAACTGATAGCATAGAACCTACGGTTACGTCTAGCCATTTCAAGTATAAAATGATGAATGAGAAGATCTTGCCGCCAATCTAGTATTGCGCTTAAATTCACAAAGTCCGAGTACCACAGATAAATTGAACTCGTATATAAAATCCATTGCTAAAGAATCTGGGAGAAAGGTTCGGATTCTCCATGTCACCCCAGGAAGTATCTGGTCCCTTCTGCTATGATCACGTTTTACAATAGTCATCTTTACACAAAATTTATCTTTACAATTACAGTGAAAATGCGGTATTTTGCTGTCATATCTGAACCGAAGGCGCATAATCTTTATTGTCCAGTTTTGATAGAGTTCAAAATCATTTACCCAATCTAAATTATTTCTTTTTCTTTTTCTTTTTCAGGGGCAACCTGTTATCCCCGCCATTTAGATTATATTCGTTTCCATCAAATAGCCAATGAAGTAGATTGTCTTTTAATGGCAGACATGGCACACATCAGTGGTCTTGTTGCAGCAGGGGTTGTCCCAAGCCCCTTTGATCATTGTGATATTGTTACTACCACCTGTCACAAATCCTTGAGAGGACCCATGGCTGGAATGATCTTTTACAAAAAAGGTACGAATGTCTCTCTTCCCCCTCCCTCTCCTCTCTCTCCCCATCTCTATCCTCTCTCTCTCCCCTCCCTCCCTCCTCTATCTCTCATATGCTTTTTTTGCTTTGGCTATCAAGAAAAGTATCCGTTTAACTCTATGAAGTCTAAGTTCAAACTGACAGAAATGAGAAGTTTATGACAAAGATAACTTATTATAAAGAATATTAAATCACTAATCCTAATGTATTCTCAGATCATCGCCATTACGATAAAATAGTAATTTCAGACCATGTGCATTATCGAACCATCAGGATAATCAGAAAAATATGTTTATAATATATTTATATCCAAAACGACAAAAATATATTCTTAGACAAACTTCATAATCTTAAAAATGTATCTTCATACACACCCCATAATCAAAACAATGTTTAACCAAAACAACACTCATATTCCTACAACTGTATTCTAGGACAACCTCCAATAACCTCAAAAATGTATTCTCAGACAATATTCATAATCCTAAAATTGTATTCTTAGACAATATTCATAATCCTAAAATTGTATTCTTAGACAACCCCTTAATCCGAAAAATGTATCCTCAGATAACCCCAATAACCCTAAAAATGTATCCTCAGACAAACCATATAATAAAAAAGTGTATCCTCAGATAACTGCCATAATCCTAAAATGGTATTCTAGGACAATCCCCATAACCCTAAAATAGTATTCTCAAAGAACCCCTAAATCCTAAAAATGTTTCTCATATAAGCGCCATAATCCTAATATGCAAGTGTTTCATATTATTAGGATATGTACGATAGATAACAGTTGACCCTTATTCTTAAAACGCAATGAAACACTAAATGCACATTTATAAGTCAAGCAGCTTCAACTTGTTCATAAAAGTTGTTCTTGTCAACGCAATGCCACATACTGCAAAAAATAACACAAAACAATGTGGGACTCTGTTGGCTTGTTCTACTGCACCGGCCCCATTCACCAACCGATTATTACCTTTTTCGATCGCTGCAAAAAAGCTGCTGAATTTTATTCAAAAGTTATCTTCCTGATATTTCCATGGCATATATTCTGAAGAGCTATATTCCTTGCAGCCATCGGCCTTGATCATTACAAATGAGATTTGCCATACCATGTACACAAGGATGAATCATTCTCATTCACTTTGTATTCCATTAGTAAGGAGTAAGTTCCAGTCTGAGAAAGAACTGCTGCGTTGTGGTTTAGAGTCCCCATAGAATGTTTTGCCAATCTCCAGAATCTTGACCTCTTCGAGTCTAGGGTTAACCGTTATCTTATTTACATAACGTCATAAACTACACTTCTTACCTCTTCTTACTCTCATACAACTCCATACAGTAACTCTCTAACTTGAATGGCTCTTAGGCCTTATATTAGGTGAACAGTAGTTTAAAAAGACTAAACGCCATTGCGAATCTAAATAAATAAACGTCTGTCCGTCGGTGTGTCTGAAACCTCCTTAACTCGGGCCACACTTGCTCTACATAAACATATTCTATCTTTTTGGAATCAAGATGATACCAGGATTGGAAATCTGCCCTTCATCTTGTGCTCGAATATCCAGCATTGGGATTTGTTTCCAGATCAGAAAGGAAAGGTTAAAAATTCAAATTTTAAAATAACTGCAAAGAAATTGTGATTTTAAAAGTTTTTAATTTATATTGAGTTAAAGTAACACAAAAAATTGTGAATTAAAAAAAAAAACTGTTTTAATTACAGTTTTAAAAAATGTCCAGTTGCGAATTGGGGAAATCAATTTTATTTCTATTTTTATTTCTCAGAACATCACCGTAACCGAAAGTAACTGAAAAGAATTAGTGATTTTAAACGTTTTTAATTTATATTGAGTTTAAAGTAACAAACCTTTCTGAATTTAAAAAAATGTTTTTATTTCAGTTTAAATTATCTCCAAACTTTGTGAATTGAGGAAATCAATTTTAATTTCTTCAAAATGCCAAGCAGAATTTAAGTGAGGTTTTAAAATTCCATTCTGTGAATTGAGGAATTCAAAGTTATTTGTTTAAAATTATCATTGCTTCTTTCTAAGCTGAACCCGTGGGGTGCCTTTTTATTTTTGAGTCAGAAGCCCAATTAGACTTCAGCAGGAGTTAGCTTAAAATTTTGAACAGGGTGCGTCTTTTAAGCTAGTTATTGAATAAAATGTAACTATAATTTTCTTTTGAAGAATAAATCTTATAAAAAAAAAAAGGGAATTATTTACGACGCAATCTAATAGTATTGCTTCTTGACGCAACTTTTGTCGACTTTCATTCGATGCTAACGCGAATAAAAACTCAACCCATTAAATATGTAACCATATAGTTATTCCTCTCGTTCAATTTGCATTCATCTTTTCCCTTTTTCTGTCTTCCATACTCGTTAAATGAGAATATCGGTTATTTAACGCTTCCTGACGTAAGGTCAGCTACATGGGAGCCTTTAAATAGAGTTTAACGCTTTTTTTCCCTCGTTTTCTGTCTCCAGGATTAAAAAAAGTGCAGAAAGATGGGACCAAAGTTATGTATGACCTGGAGGAGAAAATCAGTCAAGCTGTTTGCCCAGGTATTCAGGGTGGAACGCATAACCATCAAATTGCAGGTGAGGTGTTTTGCCGTAATAGTCGGACACGGACATTTCAGACTTAGAGTAAAGAAAAAAATAAGTGTCTCCTGTAAAGTACTTTCTCATCTTGCTGAAGATGGCGTTTTAGGGAAGTAAATGCGACTTTATTCTAGACTCGGATTAAATTAAGTAAACCTCTCTTGGTACATCGATACTTTGAAATAAAGATCATCTGGAGTTCAGTTGGATTTTACAGCCTGTCTAAAGTTATTATGCAAATTAGATAAACTTTAATAATTTGAATTTGCTTTGATAGAAAGTTGTCAAATTTTAAACGATCGTTTATTGACGTTATTTTATTTATTCGAAAAACTGTTGTCTGAAGTTATTATGAAAAATCAGATAATCACTTTTTGATTAGAATAACTTAGTTATAAAATCGTCTACAGTTGATCAACAATAACTGATGAAATGTTCAGAACATAACACACACACACAAACATACTCTTGAACTTGGATGTTGGTGGTGAATTTAGTCACTAACGTCATCATCTTAAAGGAAGCGATCACTAAAGTGTTAGTACAGTCTGGCTTGTCAAGCAAATGTTTGTCAATGCCCGAGCCATGCGCAGACTGAATTACTCTTGAAGAGATACTCAAGCTACACACTCAGGACCTGGCAGGAACATGCTGACTAATTCGGCTTTCAAGTCGTTGATTGGTTCGTCCTATATATTCAGCTTCACACTGGCATTTTAATTTATATACGACAGAACAACATTAAAAATAGGATAAACCATCTTTGACAAATGAAGGAAACACCGAACTAGTCCTAAATATTTCCGTTGTAGATAACACAGAAATGTTATTGACGGACTCAACCGTACTATTCGTTTTTGGCATAAAGTCAATTCCCTCAAGAGATTGTTTCTCTAGTCCTATTTGTCGTGCAGTGTTCTCTTTTAGTTTATCAGGCGCCGGTCGCTCAAGGTCAAAATAGGGCCCTGTTTGCCGGTCGAACGCAATTTTATAAAGCATGAGTTGAGTATATTATCCGATTTTTGTTTCCTCGCGTTTGTGATCGTATCGTTCATCCTTAACTGAGATTAAGCGCAAATTATCTTTCATTGATTTTTTTCGCTTTTAATGATATTTAGCAAGGAAGCAGTTGCAACTTTCAGAGCGTATTAAGTTGAAAAATCAAAGTTATCTCAATTCTCTCGTGTCAAAAATGTTTCTTACTAAGAATGGAAATTTAAACACACATATATTTAACTTATCCAAATATCAAAGACAAACACCGCGTTAAGAAATAAGAACGCTAACCTTGTTTCTCATATTAGATGTTGATGTTTTACTTAGGTATTCGCCTGTTCATCCGAATGGCTAGGTAGGTGATACATGGGTCTATTTCTGCTAGATCAGTTCTTCCTCCTACCTCTTGGCCCATTTACTCATCCTGACGTGGAAGCTGGCAAGACAAAATGGAGTCTTCGGGACCACACGGCTGAAACATCACTGGGTGAACTAGAAGTCTCTACAACCTCAACCAAGATTGTTAATAGAGACCAACACTCGGATATAGCCTATTTCCGGATTTGTTGCCACTCGATCTCCAAAAATCGCTTTCTACCCATTCATCTTCGGTTAAAGTGGATGCCGCTTAGAAGAGCGAACTTCAAAAGCAGTCATCCGCTGGTAGATCAAACAAAAACACTTCAGATCGAGAAAAAACAAAACAAAAACATCCTTCCCTTTCTATGTAGGTGCCCAGATGTTAAGCCATCATCAGAACATGTATCTTTTATATTTAATGATGAACACTTTTCAGAAAATTTATAAATATGATTCCTATCCAACTTTCATCTCCTAAAATTTAAATGCAATGTCAATCGCTAACTACTGTCCTCCTGATTACTCTTTTCTCTTCTCTCACTCATGAGTAATGGTTCTGTTCCTAATTCTTTCACACACAGTAATCCCTTGTGTCTTAGTGGCTTTACTGCTTTGCCTTGTGTAAAATCAATTAATATATATATATATATATATATATATATATATATATATATATATATATATATATATATATAAACCGTTATCTCAAGTTATTATGCAAAATCAATGAATCACTTTTTACTTTAATCACAGAGTAATAAAATCCTCTCCAAATGATAAACTCCTATAACAGATAGTTTAGATATTTCTGAAGGCTTTTAGTGCAATGCATGACATCCATATTAAAGTCTCGATCTAACGAGGTTATTTAAGAACATGAATAGTGTTTTTAAGTTAATGTTTTCGTTTTGTACCAACTGGCGGTCTTGTTGAAAATTTCCTCATGCGCAGCCTATTCTATGTTCAATTTCTTTCTCTTCTATATTAAATTTGTTATAACTGATCCATGAACATAATTATTGTCTAGTGTCTAGTATTTATTAATTCCGCATCCAGAATTTTTACAATAGATTCATGGTATGTGACGTTACTGCTTACATTCCAAATTCATATCATGATTTCTGTTTTAGTTTTGGTTCAAT